ATAAAAAATAAAAAAAAAAAAAAAAAAAATGCTGTAAACCAAAAAAAAAAAAAAAAAAAAAAAAAAACAAATTCTATAAACTCTATATTGCCAAATCTAAAATACTTCTTATTTATTATTTTTATTATTATTACTTATTTTATTAGAGTATAAACTTATGGATTATGATTTTAAACTAAATACTGAAATAGTATTAATTTGATATTAACTTATAATAAATTTAATATATAGAGAGACCTTCCTAAATACACTCTTTATAAATGCACTTATTATATTTTCTCTTTCTAAATGCATAGTCAAGCTTGGTTCCAAGTACATAGAACTCTTAATAAAATTATTTCCATAAATATATATCTTCTATAAATATATATTTTTCAAAAATTTTTCTATAGTTCCAAAAAGTATATATTAAGAAAGAGTTTATTATATAAGTGATAATTTATCAAAAAAAAAAAACTTGATAAGTTTAATCAGGTGATTTTTATGATATGCTGCTGTTATATAATATGGCTATATTGTGGTATTATAGTGGGATAACTGAAATACATTTCAGATATTTATTATTTTATTATAATGGATTGTTATATATTGTGATTACCAGAACCTATGCAGGGTACTGATCATGTGCTCTTCCAATCCAGTAAGTTGTTATGTTATTTTAATATGGTTTAGTGATACAGAATGTCATTGGTATTTTATATATTATAGATCTTTTGGTGGAGGTAAGCTGATTTCAATTTTTTGTGTATGAAGGTGGCAAGGATTGACAACTAGCCAAAAGGTTATGTCAATTAACCTGACACTAGTTATTATCAGCAGAAAACAAAAACTCCGAAAAAATAAAATGTTGTTTTTTAAGGAGAAGATTGTATTTAATTATATATATATTTTTGTGATGTAATAGGTAGTAATGTATATAAATACGATAAAAAGGTTTTCCTTTATTTGGAGATTGCTTATATAGGTTTCATTTAATAAAACAAAGAGTTTAATTAAAGAGATTTTTGTTACACTCAAAGTATCCACCTTTCTATAGAAAGTTAATCGACCTTTTGCACACTGCAGAAAACTAAGATGAACTCTTTTCTTAGAAAAAGGTTCTTGCTTGCTGTTTACTGTCTACTATTTATATCGTTACCAAAAAAGAAAATTTTTTACAAATTGGAGAGTTGTGGAAAAGAGTTTTTTTTAAATAAAATTATTAATATATTTAAAAATTATTAATAAAATTTTCTTTAAATTTATTTAAAAAGTTTATTACTAAAGGTTTATTAATAAAAACTAAATGATAAATTGTTTTAAAAGTTTATTTAAAAAAAAGTTTACTGTTTAAAAGTTTATTTTTGAGAGTTAGTTAATAAATTGTTTTTAAAAGTTTATTTTTGAAAATTAATTATAAATTGTTCTTAAAAGTTTATTTTTGAAAACTAATTAATAAGTTGTTTTTAAAAGTTTATTAAAAAAAGTTTATTGTTTAAAAGTTTATTTTTGAAAAATAGTCAATAGGTAGTATTAAACTATTTAATATACAGTAAATAATATATTTAATACAAATATAATTATACTGTATATACAAAGTTAATATTGAAATTTTCTTTTTGGAAAAAGGTATATATATAAGATATTTGATATTAGGATTTTGAACCAAGTATCAAAATGGTACTGACTTAATATTAACTTATAATAAATTTAATATATGGGTTGTGACTCACTATATTAAACTCATAATAAATCCAGTACTGACTTGGTACCAAAATGATAATGAAATGGTATTGTTAGAAACCCTACTTGACATATATGTTAAATAACAATTATCAATAAAAGATATATATTGTTACATATTTACCTCTTAAAATAAATAAATAAATAGTAATAATAATTTCAATAATAATAGTTATTTCATATGATTGGTTTTTATTAGATTATTATATTATTTAAAAACTTAGATTTTGAAGTTTTAATAATGATATTTACTTAAATCAAATATTTTTATATTAATTTATAAAGTGTTTAAAAGTTAAATTTTAAAGTAAGTTTTTTTATTTGATAACATATATAAGTTCGAGTTAAGTTCAAGTCAAGCTTGTTATTATTAAAATATATTATTATTAAAAATTATAAGTTTTGCTAATTTAATTATTATGTATTAGAAGTTACATATTAAAGTTTGTAATTTTTAAATGATTTTGATTTCTGGAATTCTATTTTTTAATTTCAAAAATATATGTTATATATTTCTAAATATTTCAAGTAATTAAATATGTTCATTATTCCAATTACCCGTAATATTCTTTCTTATAGATAATTTTTTGACAATATTTTCTTTTTTTAACAATATTAAGATGACATCCATCCAATTTTTTTTTAATATTGAATAGGAAAAGGTATTATTAAGACAGAAAAAGTAAACTAACTTAAAAACATGTTTTTTATTAATATCGTGATCTCTTATATATTAGATTTTAAAATGTTAACTATTTCATCAATACAATGCTTGTTATTCAAGGTTTTAACAAAGTTCAGATATTTGATTCGAAGTTAGCTTGATCAGCTCAGCAGAAAAAAAAAACACAATTCTGACAAGCCTATGTGAAGCATAAACAGATTTTTTTATTTATTTAAATTTTCAACTATCACATTGTTTTCTAGTGAAATTTTTACTGTAATAATTGTATGTTTCCGGATTATTTCGCCGGCATATGCGCAATCGTATTTCACTACGTGACGATCTGTAATATAGTCACGTGTAAAAAATTATATTTTTTACATTTAATGCAAATCTCATGTATTTTTATTTTTGTTAAAAAAAGATATAAGTATAATATTCATTTATTTATGTAAATGTAGAAGAAATAATTGTTATAATGTTGTGCATACGTTAAAATAAGTTAATCTAAATCTAATGTAAAAGTAGTATTATAAATATTTCCATTTGTCGTATTCTTTGCAATGACGCTAATCTCCATCCCGCCGAAAGTAAGTGTATACATCACTTTTCTATTAAAGCCAAGATGTGGATCCGGTAAGTCAATTTTTAAAGTTCCCAATAAATGCATTCCCGGTTCATCACAATACGTTGCACTGTATTCCCTAGTGACATAGGTTTTTATTTCCATTGATGTCTGATTTTCATAGACAGGGACTAATGATTTAGAGAACCCTTGGTCTACGTCAACCCGAGTTCCACGTTTAGCCATTTCAGAAAACTTATAAATCCGGTCTTTAACTTTCCTTTCCGAAGGATCACCTAGAGCCCATTCCCGACAAACCCTTACACCGTACGTATATTTTAATACCCTGGTTTTTATTGTGTCGATTTTTAGACCATATTCAACGGCTCCACGAACAATTGCGGTAATAGGTTGTCGAGGCACAGCAATAATTCCCACCCGTGATTCGAATTCCTCCTTTACTCGTGATTGCAGATACTTAGACTCGCTAAAGCCTCCCACTAAAAACATTGCTGGACAATTGCCACCAGAATTCAATTGATTGCGTATTAGACGAATAATTTTTCCAATAACCGGGTCAAACATCGATTGCACTATTTCAAAATCTAGCTCTAAAATCCATTCCTCCTCTTCTAAAAACGATCTTTCTCTTCCTTGTACATATTGTTTGATCACCGGACAATTTTCTCCAAGATCAAACTCAATGGATCTGAAATTACTTTTGTTGCCAGTAAAAGGCATTTTCACATATTTACAAAATTGTTGGATCATATATTGATATTGACCGTAGTGTTTTTCTTTAAGAAGGTCAACAGCTGTTGAACCGACTTTACGTCTAAGATATTTGACAAATTCTTGGTCCACGTACGTGCCTCCACAGAAGTCTCCAGTTCGTTCGGTGACCTCGCTTAGATTATTTCCTATCAAAATTTTGCGGGTTGTCAAATCTACAGTACCTCCTCCGCAATCGCATATGAGGAAGGACGCTGTTTGCAATATGTTAACAGATTAATCGACGATAAAATTTGGTTACATCATTAGGACAATAAGCAAACGTAAGTCACATACTTCCGACTGAGTTAAGGAAATATTCGCCTAATACTTTCATACAATATAAAGCAGCGGCTTCCGCTTAAAAAAAAATCACATTAAAGAAATATATCTGTTAGTTGAACTGAAATTGGGATGTTAAAAGAATGATAGTTGAAATTAAACATACGTTCGGTGGTAAATTGAAGATGAACAGATTGTAAAGTGTTAATCAAATCAGCTTTGAAAGCACATTCTCTCATTATACCCTTGGCTTTCTCGGTAAATTCGGCGGGAACAGTAAGTACGATTCGTACGTTATTCATAAAATTGATATTTGGCCAACGTATTTGAATCGTATCCTTCGCTAACTACTCAATGGCAAAAATTATAAAAACGGGAGCAATAACAAAATGAAATAACTTAATGGCTAACGTATTTTTTTTTTTCTTATACCTTTCCTACAGTTGAATAAAATTTTAGACAATGAGAAACAATAAACTGAAAATAGAAAAGAACATACCGATTTCACGAAGATAATCCGTAATAGCCTTTTTATAATCTAATCCCTGTAACAAAGGTTTCTCGCTATCGGGAATATCACCCAAATGCAACTTGAATAATTCAATAGGCTTGGAATCATTTGATGCGGCGGATTGTCGACGACTAGGCTTTTTTGCCAGTGCCTGATAACCCCAGGCTTCAACTTTAGTGAAGGAGTGGTCATATTGCAGCGCGGTATTTACTTTATATTGGCCTATGAGATCAACCCATGTTTCGTTTGTGGTAATTTCAGGATTGGCCTTATTAGAATAGGCAAACCCCTTTTTGAAAAGCAATAAATTGCGTGGTTTATTTTAACCTTATACAAATTCTTTTGAAGAATAAATTTAATATTACCGAATAGGTGGTTCCAAAATCTAATATTAAGATTTGAGTTTAAAGCAAAAGATAGTATATCAAATAATATTTAAGTTGCCTAAAAGTCGTACCTATACCAAGAACTACTCGAATATCATCATCCAGCGACATTAGTAAATGTTATGTAAGGAAGAAAATATCGTGATGTATTGAAGGCATACGTAAATATTTATACTGTATTGGGTATTCGTTGTTTTTAAGTTGACTGTGATACATACGTCGTACGCGATTAAAACAAAACTAAGTTATGTAGACACATTTCATTATATTGTAATTTGTTTCGAATACGTTACACAATGTTAGAATAAACAAGAAAGATGTTGGTAAATAAGAGCGAGAGGCAAATTGATTTGGTCTGAAGTTCTACAACTACTAATAAAATCTTAAAACACTCTGATCATAAACATGTCGTAACAAAATATAATCAAATAAAGCTGTTATCATATTGATAGAATTCATATTGTTTATATATTGTACATGCTTTCAAATATAAATTGATAGAAATAATAAAATAAAGAGATCATATAAATGCTTTATTTACTCTATTTATAGCAATCAAAAACAAAATTAATTAATAAATTTTGAAATTTCCATAGTTTATTATCTGAAAATAAAAATATAAATGAAGCTTCTACTGATTTTGATATGATTAAATATTTAACTATTAACAAGCTTATAAAAACTATTCGAATATAAATAATTGAAATAAAAATAATCGATTTATAAATATTTTTATATTAAAAATTTTTTAATGATATAATAGTCTTTTATTAAGAGTAACCAAGGTTTGTGTAACAATTGATAAATATAAAAATGTTTTAATAAAGATAGGATGAATTTGATATTAATTACAGATTTTTTTTTATGAGTTAATATTTTTTAAAATTATTGCTTCACTTTATTAATAAATGATTTTATTAAATTTTGTAAAATTAAATAAAATCATCTTTTCTTTTTATTTTTTTTAAATATTAACTTACCCTTTAATATACTTTTCAAGTATTTTATATATTAAGACAGAATCTCAAATTATATTATAAAATTTTACTTTTAGATTATGACTTTAACTAAATAATGTTTAAATTATTTTATTGTATTTAATATTGTACAATATATATATATATATATATATATATATATATAACCTATTTTATTTATATTTTAATTAATTAATTATTATTTGAAAATTCCAATATAATTAAAAATTCAGAATTAAATTAGGCTAGGCAAAATTTTTTTAAAAAAATTATGTATATTTTATAGTTCACAAGTTGAAATTAGTTGAAATTGTAAACTATTTTAGAAAGAAAATAAAATAAAAAAAAAAAGAAAAAAAGTAGCTGCTTTAAAAAAATTTGTTGTTAAAAAAAGTAGATAGATTTTATTATCAAAGAACATAGAAATTTTTCAAAAACATTTATTTTTTGGATTTACAAGAGATATATTTTAATACTGTATATATTTATATTATCATTTTTTCAATTATTTGTATTTTAATTTGAAATATTTTTGATCAGATAATTTTTGAGCACCACTGTATATAAATGTCTATGTTTATATACAAAAAATATATACTGTATTGGATTTAATAAAAATAAATTATTTTCTTAATTTAATACGTTTTGAAAAGTTTAATGAATCTTTTATTTTTATGTTCTTAATATTGTTTCGGAGATCGATCGAATAAATAATATTTTATTGTTCGCAAATTTAGGTGTTTCGATGATATCGGGCGAAAATCAATACGTAGTGTATTATTATCATTGTATTGGATGAAATGCCTACGTATATATAAAAATTTTTTTCTTGGAATGAATCACAGGCAAACAAAAAAGGTTAAAGTTTGACTTTGGCAAATATTTCTATCCCTAACTTAACACGAGATCTCAATTATTTTATAAAATTACATAACTGAAACGTAAATTATACTAATGACAATGTTAATTCAATGTTAATCCATATCTAATGTAAAAGTAGTATTATAAACATTTCCGTTTGTCGTATTCTTTGCAATGCCGTTGATCTCCATCTTGCCGAAGGAAAGCGTATACTCTACTATTCTATCAAAACCAAGGTGCGCATCCGGTAAGTCAACTTTTAAAGTTCCCAATAAATGCATTCCCGGTTCATCACAATATGTCGCGCTATACTCCCTAGTAATATAAGTTCTTATTTCCATTGATGTTTGATCTTTATAGACAGGAATTAAACTCTCAGAGAACCCCTGGTCCACATCGACCCGGGTTCCACGTTTAGCTAATTCACAAAACTTATAAATTCGGTCATTGTCTTTTCGTTCTGGAGGATCATCTTCAGTCCATTTAGGATAAATCCTAACACCGTATGTATATCTTAATACTCTAGTTTTTATCGTGCCGATTTTTAGGCCATATTCAACAGCTCCACGAACAATTGCGGTGATAGGTTGTCGAGGCACAGCAATAATTCCCACCCGTGAACCAAATTCTTCTTTTACTCGTGATTGCAGATACTTAGACTCGCTAAAACCTCCTACCAAAAACATTGCCGGACAATTGCCACCAGAATTTAATTGATTGCGTATTAGACGAATAATTTTTCCAACAACTGGGTCAAACATCGATTGCACTGTTTCAAAATCTAATTCTAAAATCCATTCTTCCTCTTCTAAAAACGATTTTTCTCTTCCCTGTACATATTGCTTGATCACCGGACAATTTTCTCCAAGATCGAACTCGATAGGTTTGAACTTACTTTGATCACCATTAAATGGTATTTTCACTTGTTTACAAAATTGTTGGATCATATATTGATATTGACCGTAGTGTTTTTCTTTAAGCCGATCGATAGCTGTTGAACCAACTTTACGCCTAAGATATTTAACGAATTCTTGGTCCACGTAAGTGCCACCGCAGAAACCACCACTTCGTTCGGTAATTTCACTTAATTTATTTTCTTCCAAAACTTCACGAGTTGTTAAATCCACTGTACCCCCTCCACAATCGCATATAAGAAAGGACGCTATTTACAATGTATTGGTAAGATTAATCGATAAATTTTTGTTTTAAGCAACGAGCAGACAAAGCTACATACTTCCAACTGAGTTAAGGAAATATTCGCCCAACACTTTCATACAATATAAAGCGGCTGCTTCCGCTAAAAAAAAAAAAAAAGAAAGAATTATTTGTAGTTGATGCTAAAATCTGTATAGTAAAAAGTTTATAGTCAAACCATACGTTCGGTGGTAAATTGAAGATGATTAGATTGTAAAGTGTTAATCAAATTAGCCTTGAACACACATTCTCTCATTATTCCCTTAGCTTTCTCAGTAAACTCAGCGGGGACAGTGAGTACAAGTTGCACGTTAGTCATAAAATCGATGTTTGGCCAGCGACGTTGAATCGTATCTTTTGCTAACTACAGTACATAATTAAAAAAAGCAGGAATAACTAAATGAAACAACTTGACAGCCACGTACAATTTTTATTTTCTTATACCTCTCCTACGAATAATAAGAATGTTAGGCATTAAGAAAATAATAATAGACTGAAAATAAAAAGAACATACCGATTTCACGAAGATAATCCGTAATAGCCTTTTTATAATCCAATCCCTGTAACGAAGGTTTCTCGATATCGGGAATATCGCCCAAATGCAATTTGAACAATTCGATTGGTTTGGAATCGTTGGATACGGCAGATTGTCGACGACTAGGCTTTTTTGCCAGTGCCTGATAACCCCAGGCTTCAACTTTAGTGAAGGAGTGGTCATATTGCAGCGCAGTATTTACTTTATATTGGCCTATGAGATCAACCCATGTTTCGTTTGTCGTAATTTCAGGATTGACCTTATTAGCGTAGGCGAAGCCCTTTATTGAAAAAGTAATAAATTCTAGTTTTATTTTAACCTCAAAGTTACTATATATCTCTTTTTAAAAAGTTAAACTTAATAATTACCGAATAGGTCGTTCCGAAATCTTTTGAGATTAATGTTTAGAAAACGAATGACGTTATGCCAAATAATATAGTACTTTAAGTATCCCAGAAAGTCATACCTATCCCAAGGATAACCCGAATATCACTACTCAACGACATTTATAATAATATACTGTATGTGTTATATCACGACGCTTAAAGTGTCTGCAATTAGAAAAGAAAAGGAATTCGAGTCTGCATCGCATTGAAAACACACTTAAATACTTAAAAATTAGCCATTCTTTGTTTCAAGTCGACTACACGTACATAATACGTACACAGTTTAAGGATGCGGTGGTAACAGTGTGCGTAGAAACAGAATAAGTTATCTTTACTCTCTTCCCTTTTGTTTCCGAATACAATGAATCCTGTTACACAACCTTAAACTAGCGAAACAAAGATTAAAAATATCAAAAATATCACGTACTGTACATGCAGCTATTTCAAATGTGGCCTTAAATGAGTTTTTGTCAAATCCTTATTTACAGTTTAAAAGGTAATGTGAATGTCCAACATCTTTGTAGCTAACACTTGGTATTTTTTGTGTAATAAAACCATCCTTTTGTTTTGGGTTTCAATGCAATAACACAATCTTTTACAATATTGTATACATCTCTACAATAAATTAAGCTTTCTTTTTTAAATAAGTTAAATTAAATACTGTATCTTTATTATTATTATATGCTTATATAAATTGCATTAATAAAACATTTAGTTTTTATTAATTAATAGATAATACTTTAAAATAATTTTTTTTAGAATGTAAAAAAAAACATGTTTGTTTATACAGCAATTATTTTTATTATTCATTCATTTAATTAAATTACAAAAAAAAATTTTATAACCGATGCAATTAAAAAAAAAAGACATAATTATTACCTAGTTTTAGATATAAATTTTTAATTCAAAATTTATGTAATCAAATATTTTTAATATTATTGATACGTGATGCATTCTTCGGCTAGCATTATCGATTTATTCCGTTTTTATAATCGGTTAAGGCGTAATTTAACCGATATCATCATTACGTATACACAAGGATAAATATGACGTCTATGGAAAGTGGCTTATAATTTAACGGGTAAATTTTGCCGGAACTGCATATCTGAGAATGGCAAAACGCCAAGTTTATGAAAAGTATAAAAAAGAAGCAGAGAGGTCAGCGATGGAATAACAAATTAATTTCTCTTCTATTATACAATTTTTAAAACCCTACAAAAATGGCTGATTTAATAGAAAACGAACCACCTGTAGAAATAATCGGACACGAATCCGATGAAAAACATGAACATGGACATCATCATGATAATTCAGACGAAAGCCGTCGAGGAAGGCCTGGTCCTCGTGGTGGTCCTCCCCGTGGTGGTCCTCCTCGTGGCGGCCCTCGTGGCGGTCATCATGGCGGTCCTCGTGGCGGTCATCATGGCGGCCCTCACGATCATCATGGCGGTCCTCGCGACGGACAGCGTGATGGTTATCGCGACGGACAGCGTGATGGTCCTCGCGACGGACAGCGTGATGGTCCTCGCGACGGACAGCGTGATGGTCCTCGCGGAGATCATCCCCATGGCAAACATAACGACGATTATCGCGGAGAGCATCCTCATGGTGGTCCTCACGACGGACAGCGTGATGGTTATCGCGGAGACCATCCCTATGGCAAACATAACGACGATTATCGCGGAGAGCATCCTCGTGGCGATCATCTTGATGGTCATCGTGGCGGCCATCCCCATCCCCGTGGCGGACACCCTGAAGGCCATCGCGGTGGTCATCCCCATCCCCGTGGTGGACACCATGATGGTCAGCGTGGGGGTCGTCCTCATGGCGACCAAGACCATCATCACAAACCACGAGACGAGGTCGAACTTTACGATAATGAAACAAAAGATGAAACTCACCTTTAAAGAACCAAGGTTTTCACTACAAATTATTGGTGTTAATAACCCACATGATCATTCAACCTCATCATGACTTGATCAATATTACAATGTTATTTTCTCTCCATCACGATTTATTTTCTTTGTTATATATTGTATATGTAGTTTATATTTTCAACTTTAAATAAAAATATATTCAGAATAACCGAATGTTATACGGTATTGGAATAAAATAATAAAAGTTTATAAAATCCGGAAAAGTTTCATGATGTCTTATTAAAACCATACAGTAACCCTTGAAATTGAATCCAATATGAATAAATAAAGTTAGTCTTTACTATGCATATCGTATCCCATATAGGTTCAAG